TCCCACCCCCGCCCCGTCCCGCCCCCCGCCCGGGCCTGCAGATTCGTCTACACTGCGTGCTCCGGCCTGGGGCGGGGGCGCCGGTGAGACGCGCAGAGTCCGGGTTGCAGCTGCCCTGTGCGGTCACAGCGAGGAGAGGGGTCTAGCTGAGCCGCAGCCTTCTGAGGCCTGCCGAGGCCAAGGCCTCCCTGGCCTGCGAGTGGCCCCGGACAGAGCCCCGGCCTAACCCGTGAAGGGGCTGCCAGGCTGAGAACTGCCTGCTCAGCTCATGTGGGCCTCCCTGCCTGGGGACACTCCCAGGGCCATCTTCCCTTCCTGGCCCCTAGCAGGGCTGCTCTTCTCTTCACCTTTAAAAATATTTTAAGGCTTGAGGCATTGGCTGCACTTCAGACCCGGACCTGCCCAGCTCAAAGGAGGTGAGATCCACTGGCTGGGCCCTGACCATCTTCCTGAGCCCCTGAGGCTTCAGACCCTGGCCAGGACTCTCCTTGGTAAGTGTGGGATCCTGGGAGGTGCTTTGGGGGTGGAGGGGTCTAGTGTGCCAAGGACTTTCTGGGTCACAGCCTCCCAGGAGGTGGTGGTGCCCCTGAGGCTCCCAGGGCTTGGAGGGCTGTCATCCCCGACAGCCTCCTTATGCTACATCTGTGACCATCGTGTGGGGACTGGACAAATGTTTACTGAGCAAGTGAGCAAAGGTAGCCCTCAAGAGCTGGCTCTAGGTGCCTGACTGGCTGTGGTGGCTTTGACCACCAGGATGACTTGGGAGCCATGTATTCCACATCCGCCAGCAATGACAAGAACCTGCCACTCAGGCTTTAACAAATTGGGACTTACTCCTTACACCACAAAGCCCATAGCAGGCAGTTGGTGTGGATTTGGAGACTTGGCATTGTCAGGGCTAGTGTCGTGTGGACATCTGGGTTGCAAGGCGGCTGCTGCAGCTCTGGCCATCACATCACACAGGAAGAAGGAGATGGGTACTCTTTCTTTCACGAAAGCAGAAGCATTCCCCATGCCCTGCTGCAACCCGCACTTTGCCCACAGCTGGGTGACATGGGGAAGCAGAGACCAGCGCTTATCTTTGCCCAGACCTGGCTATCACCTGGGGCCAGCACATTGCTGCCTGGAACAAGATTGGGTTCACCTGCCCACCAGGAGGTGGGGTGAACCTTGGGTAGGTCGCTGACAGAGGTGGCCATGTCTCTGACATACTTTGGGAAGGCAGAGTAGCTTGGTCCCCCCGCTGCTGCCGGGCAGGGGCTCCCACAGACATGCTTTGTGGCTTTGAGATGGCTCCCTTCCTCCTCCCTGCTGGCCTGGGATTTGGGAAAGGGCAGGTGGAAGAATGTTGGGGATTTAACAATGTCCTGGTTTCCTCAGTTTCTGGGTTGGCTTCTTGCAGGTAACTCGCCCGCTGTGCCTTTAAGCCGCTGTGTGCAGGATTACCTGGGAGAAAGGCCAGCATTTCCCACTGCTGGAGCAAAGTCTCAGCCCCCTGGGTGAGTTCTCAACCTCTGGCGCCCGTTGCTCTGGGATAAATAAGAGACTGTGACAGAGGCTGGAGGGTAAACGAGACAGTCGAAGTCAGCTGCCAGCTCAGCCTGCCAGCAGCCAGAAGAGCAGCATGGGGCAGCTGCATTACTTCTCCAGGAGCCCCCCTCTCCCACTTCAGTCCCAACTCTCTGACTCACCAGGCACTTGGGGTGTCCGGCACTGTGCTAAGTGCTGGGAGGCAAAGACCAGTTGCAGGGAGCTGTCCTTGTGGCCCCCTCCTGCTCCAGGCACCCACTGGTCCCCCTACCCTCTTCTTTCTGTATGGCCTCCCTGAGCCTCTGGACTCCCATGGGTCCCCAAGCCCTGGCCCCTCCTACAGGTGGCAGGTGGGGGAGGGGCTGCCACACGGACAGGCTGAGGACGCAGCTGCTGCTGCTGCTGCTGCCCAGGGCCAGCTGGGCCTCCTTGGACTGGACTGGCCGTACCAGCTGCCGTCCTGGGGCCTGCTGCTCCGCCCTGGCCATCCCTTTGCTTGCCGGCCTCTCCAGAGGTTAGTGCTGGGGCCTCACCTAGCACGGCTGAGGAGGAAGACAGTTATCAGGGGCCACAGCAGCCTGGGCTTGCCAGTGTCATCTCTGAGGGTGGCACCAGCCGTAGTGGCCCCTCCTGATAAATGCACTGGGGAGGAGAGGCCCCGGGAGCAGTTCTGGGTGGACATGTGGGCCTCTTGCATTCCTGAGGTCAGGGCCTCTCAGCCGCCCCAGGCTGGAATTCCCTGGGCCTCGTCTTCCTAGTGTGACCTGGGCAAGTTACTCAATCCCTCTGCATCTGGTCACTTGGTGAGTCAGATGAGACACCTTAGTACTCTACTCCCCCAGGCAGGCCTGCACCCTAGCCCCAGCCCCAGGCTGAGCCTTGGCCACTGCCCTCGAGGGGGCTGCACTTTACTGTGAAGTCAGGGTCCCAACGCTTGCTTTCATCTCCCTGCCCGTGAAGGCCTCAGTCCCTCCTGCTGCAGCCCCCACAACATGCAGCCCCAGGAGAGCGGCGTCCACTACAGCAGGTGGGATGACAACAGCCGGGACGAGGTCAGCCTGGCGGCCGTGTCCAGCACAGAGGAGGCCTCATGCTGTCAGAGGTGAGGGCCCTGGGACGGGGAGCCTGCTGGCCTCCCAGCTACGGGGCTTGGCCCTCTGCCCCAGCCCGCCTGGGTGCCCGTGCCCGGTAGTCTCAGCATACCTGAGCCCCTCGGGCTTCCCTTGGGTTGGCTCTTGGGTGGCAGGGCTGCTTCCCAACTCCGGGAGCGCATCCAGGCCTGCCTTCACCAGGTCCCTCGTCCTAACCAGGGTGGCCGTCCCCCCAACCCAGTGCCCAGCAATCAACTTAAGGGCCTCTCCCGCGGCCCTGGCCTGGGGCTCACATCCTGGTGGTCCTCACCCTAGGGTCTCCCGGAAGCTGTGCACAGGCAAGCTGGGGGTCGCCATGAAGGTGCTGGGCGGCGTGGCCCTCTTCTGGGTCATCTTCACCCTGGGCTACGTCACTGGTTACTACGTGCACAAGTGCAAGTGAGCGCTGCCCAGCGCACACCCAGGGCTGCCCACGTGCTTTGGGTGTGTGCTCAGAGGGACACCTTGTATACGCAGCCCCGTGCATGTGCGCAGACCCCAGGGAGCAGGCACAGCATGCGGGGCACACACTAGCATCCAGGCAGGTGAAGACACCAGTGTGCAGTTGTCATGGGCCCTACACAAGGGTGGACAGGCAAACAGACATGAATGTACATACATGCGCCTGTCTGCACACGACACACTCCCTTTGAAGGACCAAGAGACAAACACCCTGGCACATGCAGCTATCCAGATGCCCATGAGGCTGTGAAGCCTGGGCCCAGTCTCGGCAGGAGCTGCCGGACACACCCAAACCAGACCCTGCATCCTATGCCCCAAGGCCCCCGGCCTTACCCAGCAGCCCTCCTCCCCAGCTGAGGGCCCAGACCCTACACTTGTCAGGGCTGGGGCGAGGGTGTCTTCTGCAGACAACCTGTGGGGCATCGTGTGGGGCTGTGAGGCCCTAGGCAATGCCAGTTCTGACAAGGGCTGTGTGTGCCCAGCCTACCCTTCCCCAGGAGATTGAGACCCAGCCCAGAAGTTTCCTGTGCGGAACAGGGAGAGCCTCCGGCCCTTGTCCCAGACCCTCCACTGTGTCCTCAGTAAAGGGGGCGGGATCCTTCCTGGGCTGCCGACTGCACAGGGCAGGTCCACTGGAGGCTCGCCACAGCCGGGAAGGACCTTTTCACTCCTCCTCCCCCAGGACAGGGCCTGCCCATGAAGTCGTCATTAAACATCTGTTGAGTGAATGGTGGTGATGCGACTCACTTGTGAGCAGGGCCAGTTCCTCCTTGGCAGGCCTCACCTGTTTGGCTCTTGGCCATGGAATGTGCCTCCTCCTGGCCAGACTCTTTGGCAGGACATGGGGCCAGGCCCGAGAGCCAGGATGTGGCTGGGCCTGCTCCTCACCTGCCCCGGGAGTGCCGGCTGCCTCCACCCTCCTCGCAGATGCTCTCCTGGGCTGCACACTCGGCCTTCGCCTACTGCAAAGTCTTTCTCGGGCCTCGCAAACCCTCTCCACAAACACCCGCTTAGAAAAGTGGCCCTTCTCCAGGCTGAGGGTGGGGACAGGGGCAGCCACTGGCCTCATGAGCACAGAGCAGGGAGGCCACAGCTAAGGCTGTGCTCACCCCCAGGCCGAGAACCTGAGTGCCCCTCACTACACCAAGTCAAGTACACGCGAGGGGCTTGGCCATGCTGGGCAGGGAGGGCAGAGAACCCACACGAGGAGGGAGGCCAGGCTGGGGTCTCCAAGCAGTGACACTTCCATGGGAGCCTCCTGCAGGGTGGGGCAGGGAGTCTGCTCCAGCCAGCCCTGGTCTCTGGGGGTGGGGTGGGGGAGGGTGCCAGATGAGGAAGGTGCTGTAGGGAAGTGGCAGAGGCCACCAGGCCCAGCACAATGGATGCACGGCCTCTGTGAGCTCCAGGAGTTGACACTCTGCTCTGGAGGTCCTGGGGCTGGGCTTCCCCCAAGGCCTGGTGCTGCTCTGGCCAGGAGGCAGGCGAGGATACAGGGCATGGGCAAAAGAGGTGCCCAGCCACACGTCCTCAAACACTCCTCCCTACCCACTGGTGGTCCGTGGCAGTGGACGGCAGAGGTTGGCACTAGGTGCTTCCTGGATCTGGCCGGCTGCACTCTGTGACCCCTGCAGCCAGCCAGGGGCTCTGGGACAGAGAGCCACGATGTGCCCAGCCCACCCCTGGCAGATGCACAACATCCTCTGTCAAGGGCTCCTCTGGCACCCCTGCCAGCCCCTGCAGGGGAGGCTGTAGGCAGAGGCCGAGGGTGCTCGTCAGGCTGGGCACTCAAGTTGCCCACAGCCTGTATGCAGGATGCCTCAATGAGTGACCCCCAGGGCTATGCTCCCAGGCTGGGGAGAGGATGGGACAGGACCATGCTGAGTGGCCAACCAGCCTCCCCTCCCAGAGAAGATTCAAGAACAGGAGGATCTGCTGGGGGTGGGGCCTGAGTGACTCCTGGGAGCATGCCCCTAGGTTGGGGGTGGGTCCAGCAGCCTGAGACCCCTGGTCCATCTCATGCTCTGGGCAGGGGGCCTAGCAGGGTGTATAGCCTTGCTGGTTCCCAGGATCCAGGTCGAGGGCACTGGCTTCTTTGGGTGGTGTGCAAACCTGCACTGGAGTGGAATGGACCTCTATGTCACTTCCAGCAACCACCTCTGGAAATGCCGGTGGGAAAACATTCACTGGGTAAGGAGCTGAGATGTTTCTTATTCAGTGTGTTTTATTAGAGAGTCAGATGAGCAAAGACAACATCAAAGAGGTTTTCTGCTGTCAGCTAAGTACATTTCCAGAATCTCACACGCTGTAAAGCGGCATCAGAAGAGAGCACGGTGTAGGGTTCGATCCCTGTACCGGCCAGCCACCAGAAAAAAAAGAGGGCAGCTTGACCCTCCCTCACCATTCTGGGCTGAGTCCCGGCCTGGGGAAACTTCCTGGAGCCCCTCACAGGGCAGGCCCCATGCCAGCTACAGCATCAGCAGCCTTGGCTGCCCCGTGGTGTCATGAAATGACAGGCCAGGGCCACCAGCACATGTGGTAGGTTTGGGGACCAGGACAAGGAAAGGCAGTCACCTGGCATGTCCTGTCTGGAGCCCGCACCTCCAGTGGGACTGACCAAAAGGCCTGGCAGTAGCTGCTGAGTCGTGGTCTCAAAGCAGCCCAGCCCATCTCACAAGGCTCTGGAAAAGCCACTAGCTTTGTGGGTGTGCCCACTGCGTGGTGCCTTGGGTCTCCCCAGATTCTTGGTTAGTGTGGCTCTTGCAAATGCTCTGGAAAGTCGTGGGTCATTTCTACAGAACACAAAAACTGCCCTTTTAGGTCAAAGACCACCGAACAGAAGAGAGTGGTGTCATTAAGTTAAAGAAGGCTGATGAGGCCGCTTCTCACGCTGTGGCCAGACCCTAAGGTAGCGAGGTCACAGAAGGCCGCCTCTGGCTGGCCAGATTCCTGGGACACAGGCACACAAACGAATACACGCATGGACGCAGATGGCCTGTGGCCTGAGACTTTAAAAACTGTGAATACCTAAAATATAAATGCTGAGGAACCATTCATCTGGAGGGCACACTTTGATTTTTGACTCAAGGACTTTATGCCTTCTCTAGTCACTGCCTGTCTGTCCTGCTGGTTGAGGACTGTGGCCAGTCCATCCATAGAGCTGTCCTGTTCACCTGGACATGGCACTGTGATACCTGCCCACTGCTGCTATGCTAACGCACCAATGATGGAAAGCCACTGGTAATTCTCACCTCCTCTCGGCCCAGGGGCACCTAGGCAAAGTCCCACCATGGCCTTCAGACCTGCGGGGCTGATTGCCTGGAAGGTTCTATATACATCCCTACTCCCCTATAGCACTCCAACAGCAATATTAAGAAAAATAATTTTGCCAATTCTAAGGTCACATTAAAAAAAATTTTTTATTTGGCTGGCCGGTTGGCTCAGTTGGTTAGAGCGCAGCTTTATGACTCCAAGGTCATGGGTTCGGATCCCAGTACTGGCCGGCCACCAAAAATAAGAAATGATTAAAAAAAATTTTTTTTAGCAAAGATTATGATCACTGCAAACTGTAAAACATGGTGGCCTTGCACATTTCTAAGCTGCACCACTGGCACAATATAGTTTAAAAAGATGCTACATCATAGAAAAATAATTGTGCAGTTCCATAAAACGCACGTAACTCTGCTTCCCAATTTAGGATGGGATATTCAAACCAATTCTAGTGTTTTTTTCCTGTCATTTGCTGTATGTTTACATGATTTAGACTATTTTGAACAAATTAGTTCACATATGTGAATAATTTCATAAAAAACAGTAAAATCAGTTTGGTGTTGTAATGACAACATAGCATCACTTTACAAGAGAATCATCTGGAAAAACTGAACAAAGAATACATCTATCTTAAAAAATGCTGAGGTGAAAATGTAACGAATAATTTAGTATCAGCACGTATAAGCCTCTCTGAAACAGGCAAACAGGCAGCTTGCCGGCCTGACAGCCAGAGCTGGCCCGTCAGCGGATCACAGTCACATGGGGCGGGGCGGTGGCCAGATCGGCCTTAGAGGGGTACACCACCTTCAAGGTCCCCTCCAGGTCCACCACCCGCACCTGCTCCACCACCAGCGGGCTATGTCCATCCTTCCCAGCAGCTGGATTCGTTTTGGGATCAGAAAGTTGTCCAGACATTGCATCAGCTTCAGCATCTGAGAGTGATCCTTCCTCTTTATTTTCTAAAGTGTATTTGTTCATTTCTGCCATTTTCTGCAAAAATAAATAATATCTTTTTAACCTAAAGATGAGAGATGAGCCAAGAAGACGTGCTGCTGTGACCCAATGCAGTGAGCAAGGGCGGGAAAGGAGAGCCCGCCAGACCTTGTGACTCGGAGCCGATCCCCAGGAGACCGGCCCCCAGGAGATCGGCAGCTTACTCACCAGAATGAGAGCGTCCATGACCTCTTTACAGATCTGCAGACTGGTGGCACTTGTTACTTCCAGAAACAAGTCAGAAGTGGTTTTCTTAATCTTAAAAAAAGTGAGAAAGATTTCAGAGGAGAGTAAAGTTATCAAGGGTAGACACTGGTAGCCGCCACACTCGTTCTGAAGAAGAGTCTATGAGACGCTGCTACACAAGCCAAGACTGTCGCCTGCTAAAGAGAGGTGCATACTGGATGGGTGCACACGTGGTGGCTCGTGCATGTCCTGCAGCATTAAATGTGACGTGTGACACCCAGTTCAGGGAGCTAAGGGCCTTCAGTCTCTCTGGCCTGTGTGTTACTTCTACAGAGAATAGCCCAGAAGAGGCATCTGTGTGCACACACACCCCCTACCTTTGTCTTCTCACTGTTTGTTATGGGCGGGAAAGAAATCACATCACCATCTGCATCCACAAGACACGGGTAATTTTCTTTTCCATCCAGTAAGTGAAGATATCTGTGTGGGAAAAAATACAGAGATTATAAAAAACACACCCAGGGCTGGCCAGTTAGCTCGGTTATAGTGTGTTGTAACACCAAGGTCAAGGGCTTGGGTCCCCATACTGGCCAGCTACCAAAAAAAAAAAAAAATCCAAACAAAAATACAAATATAAAAACATACTTAGAGGTGGAACTGGACAAATCAAAGTGCTCATCAAATTAAGTGTAATGTCAAGGGCACAGCTGAGCATGCTGTGGGAGCCCAAGCCTACGCAGAAACAACGGGGCCACCTGCAAACCATTACCTTGTTGCAGGACCTTCACTTGGTGATGTTTCCCAGCAGCATGGGGACTGGGTCCAACACTGCATGTCTGACTGGCATTCCATACCCCTTTCCTAATGGCTAGTTCACATCCCATCTGGTCCCGAGGGCACAAAACCTTCTCTCCCCCCCCCCCCCCCCCCCCCCCCCCC